TATGTATGTGGGGCTCACATACATTTTTCAAGGTAGGCCCCACATATCATTGGTAGACATGCATGTGGGGTCCATGTGTGGATATGTATGTGGGGTTCACATACATTTTTCAATATAGGCCCTACATACCATTGGTGGACATGTATGTGAGACCCACATACATTTTACAAAGTGGGCCAAACATACCATTGGTGGACATGCATGTGGGGTCCATGTGTGGACATGTATAAGGGGCCCACATACATTTTTCAAGGTAGGCCTCACATGCCATTAGTTGACATACATGTGGATCAATCTATTGACATGTATGTGGGGCCTGTATACATTTTTCAATGTAGGACCCACATACCATTGGTAGGTCTCACTTACACATTCAAATAGTTTTTCTTTTAGAAAAAGATAACCCATTTTCTCTCAAGTATGTGCATAGTGTCATGTCTGGAAAAGACTAGGGACACTAAAAGAATTTAAAAACTTCTTTTATGGGTTGGAGCTTTTTCTTTCTATTGTTAAACGGGAAAAGCCCTAAACAACCTAAAACCCGCACGAAAAGACTTATTCATGTTGTAAGTAGTAAAACAGATCTTATGTAAATCCAGAGCCATGTCATGGTCGTGACTGCAAATCAAGTTCAACTTTATCCATGTTGAGATTGACAACTTTCAAATCAGTCCTGCTATGCCCATCGGAGAAGCTTCCTCTAGGTTTCTAACGATGGCCACAAAAAAATAAAAATAAATAAATAAAAGCATAGAAATAATAAATTAAAGGATAAATTATTTAAAGCCCCAAATTATCTGACAATTATTTAAACATCTTGTATTTTGGCCCATGGAAAAACTTTTCATCACCTTTCATAAATGTACAAATAGACGCTTTCTATTAAATCTCCTAACGAAAAATTACACCACCATGACAAGCCAAGTCCTATCAAGCAACTAAGGGATTATATTATTCATCATGACAATTCAGGAGCAAGTGAGGAGGAACCTATTCTCTACGGGTAGGATTGGCATTGACTGTTCTGTCAATTTTGACTTTTTAGTTATATTAAATTTATTTTATTCTTTCTATTGGTGTTGGATTTCTAATATTTTAGGGATCATGGGAATAACATCTTTGATTCCCCACGAAAAAAAACAAGGCATTCATCCATAAGTGATGGTCTGAAAAAAACTCTTACAAAGGTTCTTAAGCAAGAAAGAACATTCCCCTGAAAGATTAGCTAGCTGTGGTTCTGTTGAAGGTTGGAGTCGTCCAGATGACATGCTGCCAAGGAAAAAAGACAATGACAGAAAAAGGTATAGTCATTTCAGTTTCTTTGTTCTCTTCATTTATTTACTAATATTTGTGAAAAACCTATATGTACAAGTTCTGTAGACATATGACATCAAACTCCTCTGCAGTGAGAAAGCTTCAGTCAGGACCGATCATCCTGAAAGCCCTATCCAGCGGACATCACCAATGTTGGAAGAAGTTGAATATGGGCCAGGGAGGTTAAGGGGAGAAGGCTATATAATCGAGCATGCCCAGGACAAAAAACCATTTGTGTATGAACATGAAAGAGATTCTTCTTTATATGAAGAGTTACAGAGACGATGTCTCATAGAAGGTTGAAAAGCTGATGAAAAGAAGCATTCTCATTTGAGCAATATCGAGGGAAGTGACCGAGTTTACAGTTCATAAATCATGGAAAAAGGTTGATAGGAAAAGCCGAGCTGGTGCTTATGGTTCTGATTCTGAGGAAAATAAGAAGCACAGATCCAAATACATGGAAAGGAGAAAGCATAAGAGAGTGGATAGGAATTTCCTGAAAAATGGAAAAATGAGGATTTCCTGAGCTATTCTGTTGATGTGCAACTTTGTGCAGACCTTGCTGCTAGATTTTCTGGTAATATTTACCTTCCCTTAGATGGGAATTTGATTAATCTTTTTGTAGGAGTTCTTAACTGGGTGGATATGAAACCATCTTGTTGTTTTATCACAACATAAAACAACTGGTAATATTTACCTTCCCTTAGATTGGAGGAGCTACCAGTGATACATAAAAAGTTTAATGGAATTGAAAACATACATATACAGGGTCTCGGAGAAGACGAAGAGTCACGCATACCTATTCTGCCGGATTCAGCTTCACGTACGGTGCTCGCTACATAACGAAGAGAGATGAGAACTAAGATGTGCTATTTTCTCCCTCCCAAGTCCGAATAGCTTTGAAGCGGGAGTACAAAATTTCGAAATCCTGGGGGCCAATCTTCCTCTACCACTTGCAACCGACTTTAAGGACAATTTGTGATTTTTAAATTCCAAGGAGGTAGAATACCTTGTAACTTTGGCAATGATTGAATCATAGGACAATTTATGATTTCCAATTCCCAAAGAGATGCAAACTCTGGCAATGATTGAAGCATAGGACAATCATTGATTTCCAAATACATAAGGGATGCAAGACTTTGTAACTCTGGCAATGATTGAAGCATAGGACAAATGGTGATTTTCAATTTCTCAAGAGATGCAAGACCATGTAACTCTGGCAATAATTGAAGCATAGGACAATTTGTGATTTCCAAATACATAAGGGATGCAAGACGTTGTAACTCTGGCAATGATTGAAGCATAGGACAATCAATGATTTTCAAATTCTCAAGAAATGCA